CGGTAATTTTGCTCATGGCGTCCGCTGCAAAAACAAATAGCAAAGTTAATAAAAGTCATAACAGAAATGCATGGAACAACAGAGTATTCGACAGGCCGGCTACCTCTTGAGCACCGACTGCTGAGGCCACAGGCGGCCAAAAATTACTCGTCGTAGAGCCATTTGAAGCTCGGGACGCAGTGCAGGGGTACTTGCTCTCGTACCCCTGAAGTAGAGTTCACCTTCGACTCTACTTTGAAGAGTCCTTTATCTAGGATCTCTTTCTTAGCCTTGGGGGGAACAGGCGGCATGCTGCGGCCGCCTGCAAGAAGGGGCGGATTCCTGTTCCACCTGTTGAAGCGCTTGTTCAGCTCTGTGTCTGAACTCTCAATGATAAGGAAGGTGCTCCGCCAGTCCTTCCATTTGTTTGCTTTACCTCTTGTCATGAGGTAGCCCCTGTGGCTCGTCAATTGATACCAGCCGGTACCGCCTGTCTTAGGGGTCCGGCTGAGGTAGTTCATGTGGGCGAAAGCCTCGAAGTTCGGCTCCACCCCGTGCAGTTCGCACCCGGCCACATAGCTGAGTACGTTGACCCAGGAGTTCGGGGCTAACTGCCATAACCCCAACTCATACCCATCCAAGATCCGCTGAACAGCCGGATGTAGTGGGAAGCGCAGCCCAGCCTTGATGGACGCCTCGTAGAAGCCAAAGCAGGTGCCATCATAACTAGTACCAGCCGGCCAGACGACTGTGTCTTCTGGATCCGGCACGAACACTAAAAAGCCGGGGCCCATTGTGTGGTTTGCGATAAAGCTCCCCACTTTTTCTTGCATGGCCGTGATTCGGCCCCGAGGTACCGTGCAGTAGTAGGGGGTATTTTGCTCTCGGTGAGAGGCGGATGGCTCCGCCCAATTGTCCCCCTTCTCAACTGCGTGAGAAAGCCTCGCCTCTTGTAGGCGACTGTTTTTCTCTTCTGTGTCCAGAGAAGCATGGCCAGAAGAGCTAGACTCGGATTCGTCCTCTGACGTGTCCGAAGAGGACGACTCCTCCCCTCTCCCAGAGGGGCCCGCCTCATCTCCTTTAAAAGGAGCAGGAGAGAATGTAGAATTGTCAACTGTAAAATGGGAAGGGGTCACTTTGACTCCTCCCTCAGAACTGCCGGCTTTCAAGCCGCTTTGTTTCACTTCCACATCTGGCACCTGGTCAGATGTTTCACTAATCAGCACCCTGTAGGAGGAGCCGTCTGAGTTCGAGATCCTAGCCGTCTTTTTTGTTCTGGCCATCATGTTCTGCATAGACACAGATACAGTCGGACTTTGTATAAAGGGCAAAGATGGGTCCAGAAAAGGGCAGGCGGCACTCCAAGTCCTAGATTCAGCCGTCCCCGGTGACCGGCTGATCGCTAACCTAGGTCGTGTCGTGTGCTTCCGTGGTGCCATTTCAAAAAAGAATAAAGTAAAGAGAAAATTAAGAGTAAGAGAACCGACGGTTACCTGAACGAGTGACGATTGATGAAGTTCTGAAAATCCTTTGCAGTCGGCTTGTCAGAGCAGGCGGTAGGCAGAAAGGGTCCAAAATGTCAGAGCAAGTTCAGGGGTCCGAATGTTCTCTCACAAAGTTCTCAAGTGTGAAAATGACCGAAGGCAACACTCCCTTATATAGGCGAAGTGAGAAGGCGAAGGGTCACTTCCGGAATTCAAAATTTGGGCGGGAGAATCTCTCGGCCTTTCGCCGAGTGACACCTGTAGCAGGTCGTCGCCTGTTACAGGGCGACACCTGTCACAGGTAACACGTGACCAGTCACGTGCCACCTGTGAGGGGCAAATGATTAGGGGATTTTGCTCCCACCAATCGGAATGCGCCACGTGGGCCAATCAGGTCCTGCCAAGTGTCCCCCAGTTGGACCTCTCAGGGCTTGCCACGTGGCACACGCTTATTCGACCACCCTGGACCTATTATGTCATGACACGTGGCATACTCCATGCCTAATGGAGAAGTCGACCACCTAGGCCCAACTTCCGAGGGAAGCCCAATCAGCCCAAGGTTAACCTAAACCTAGGATTGGCACGTTTCCCGAGGTTATAAATACCTCCCTTAATCCTCATTAAGGGGGAGGACGCAGATTACACACATTAAACACTCTCACCTAGAGAGACTCAATCACTTTAATTTTCGCATTAATTACTCCTTAATCAAGTACTAACTTGACCGTCGGAGGCGGATCTCCAATCATCCGGAGCATCCGTTTGTTTTGCAGGTACAGGCGTCCGGTTCCAGTCTCGGAATTGTAACTCTCCCGCAGGACATCAGAAAACCCCGAAACAACTAGCATAATTGGCGCCAAAGTGAGCTACAATGTTTTTTTTCACTAGATACAAACCACAACTGAGATTTGGATGGAAATTATTAATTAGGTTTGTCACCACCAGAACATTGGAATCAATTTTCGTCTAATCTTTATTATACACTTTCAATTTCTCCTTCTTTATTATCGCTTGAACATGGTAACAATACTTCTTTGGGAATCACTATAGGTTATTTTTAATTTTGGTCTTTCTAGTGCATTAAAGAATTATATAGCTAAAATTTCATATGATGAAAGGAATATTTTCTCTATTTTTTTTTTAATTGCATCACTTACATTTACGCGGAGTTTTAGGAGAGTTATTTGTTTTAATATTATATTGTGCAAGTGGATGATTAATTTATTTTGATAAAAGTACAATGTATCATGAAATAGATAGTATGTGAAAGAGAATGTTTAATTTAATTATATTAGTAGGGATCATGAAAGAGCGAGAAATGATAAAATATTTTGGATGGGTAATAGAGAAGAGAAAGAAATAATAAAATATAGTATAAAGTTACCAAATATAGAAGTGATACATTTAAAAAAACACCCCTAAATGAAAAGTAATGCATTTAACAAAACGGAGGGTTTAATTTGTAAATTTATAAATAATTTTAATATAATTTGTTTCATGTAACTTTTCATATTTTATTAACAAGTTTTATTTCAATTATAATACGTACTGATGCATTGCGAAAGTTTAAATTTAATATTTATTAATATAAAATCATTAGAAATAAATTGTATAAATCATATGAGCATACTTTAATAATAATCTACAAAATAATGTATTTATTTTGAACGAAATACATCATGTTCTGAACTATTTTTGAACGAAAAATCCAGAACTCATAAGAACGTAAAGAAACTATCTAAGTATAGTGACCGAAGATTTTCTTAGAGAACTCGATTCAATGCGGAAAATCAATTGAGTTGAAATCCAAGCTTTTAAAGCAAGTTATATTTATTTTTTGCTCAACTTCCACCCAATTTAGCTACAACTATGGCAATCAAAAGTGAACTTTTTGTTAAAATCACAAAGTAAAGAAGCAAAATTAGGTTTTTTTCTTTTCTTCTTTCTTTCTTTCTTTCTTTTCATATTTATAAAAAAAAAAAATTGTTTAGTCTTTAAATTTTTTGTTTAGTCTTCCGGCTTATTTTTCAATGTTAACAACTTGAACATGCTGCTAATATAGTAAAACTCTAACCATCCTTTAAGGCTACAGGTCAAAGTTAATACTTAGAACTCAAACGAATCATTATAAATTTTATTATAACAATCTAGTAATATACTACTCTACAAGTTTTCATTATTTTATAAATTTTAATTTTTATTAAGATATTTTGGGTTATCTTTTATATAATTTAATAGTTGTTTTTAACATTCAATCACAACACTCCAAACCCCAATTCTCAAAATCTAAGCACTTTTTTTTTTTTTTTACCACTTTTACTATTTTTTTCTTAAATACACATACTTCATATAATCGTATGTGTATCCCGTGCGTTAGCACGAATACACTCTAGTTTTTATAATAATTTAAGAGTTTTTTTTTCCACCTTTTCACAAGAGCACTTCAACATCCCAATTCTTTACTTTTGTACAATTTTTTTTTATTTTTTTATTTTTTTTTATTTTTTTTTTTGCAATAACCTCTACTTAAATCACTAAAAAATATTTGTTAGACCTAAAACACTTTTTGTTAAAAACAACGATTTAATTATTTTTTGGCAAAGTCAGAGGTTAATAAAAAAAAAATACAATATTATTTGTTTTATGTAACGTTTTATATTTTATTAACAAATTTATGTAGTCTTTTGGCTTACAATGTTACACCTAAGTGGCATACGAACAACAAATAAGATGCTATTTAGTCTTTTTAACTTATGTTGTGATTTGATTGGAGGATGACATTATGTTATAATATGTAATACAATAAAATTCTAACCATTCTTTTTGGCCGTACATAAAACTCAAACGTAACTTTATAAATTTTGAAATAGAAATTATAAAATTATAAATTTTAACAGTAATATAGATGTCTATATCACAAGTTTTCATTATTTTATAAATTTTAATTTTTACTAAGATATTTTGGGTTATTCCAACACTTCAAAACCTCTAATTAAATAATTGGTAAATTTGTCAGACCTTTTAAAAGACACTTTTTTTGTCAAAAACAATTTTTTTTTTTTTTTTTTTTTTTTGGCAAAGTCAGACGTTAATGTTTTTAACTAACATTACTCAATTTTCAGACTTTAACCAGCAAATTTTCGATATTTACTCGCTTGTGTAGGGCTTGTGACTTATTTTGAATATTGCAATGTCAGATCTATTACAAATATTGCAATGCCAGATCTATAATGAATATTGCACACGTACACATTTATAATCTCCATTAATGTATACTAGTAATTAGAATAAAGAGGTGAATAGACCCTACTAGATTTATTATATTGCACACGTGTACACGTTGCGTGTGTATCTTAATTTGTTTTATACTTTGTAATGCCAAGCAATTGCCTACGCAAGATGCCTGAGGGTTGGATTGGTTTAACAAAATTTCTCGTTTATTTTCCCCAACTAATTTCTATATTCCATTAATTAACTTCTTTTTCTTTTCTTTTTTATGGGAGCTAGCCTCCTTTTTGGACCGTTGTCATATATCAATGGAGCAAGAATTAAATTATTCTGATTTCAAGTAGCTTAAATGGTTGCCATATATGTGCTGATGTTTTTAGTCACCTTGATTCATTCATTCAACATCCGAATTGATTAAGTTTGATACACAGATGTTATCCCCTATAACCACAGCAAAACCGGGGGCATAATTCTACAATTCTGCACGAGCTCAATAGGCAGAAACAACACTAGTTAGACCATTTTTACAAGTTCACTATACTAGCTTTTGGTTTGATTACATCATGGTCAGCAAACATAGGATACCTGTGCACAAAAATCAGACCCATGAATTGAAATTAAATTCACCAGTGTTGCACAGCAAGACTATGTAGTTCTTGCTGCATCTACAGAGCCTGTACACTTGCTCACATCTTCTGTCGGCACCTCAGAGCCATTAGCAATACACATGTCTAACTTCCGTCTCTTTGCTGCCAATCGAGGTCTCAACTGCAAGAACAAATGAAGCCAGAGACAACCACCTCAGTAATACCAATTTAAGCGACTAGAAATCAGAATAATTCAATTCTTGCTCCAACAACAAATAACTCTCCAACTAATATACCATCACTCTCGCTACAAACTGATAGTTCAAACCCAACTTGCCTGATCATCCTTGTGTAGCATGCTAAGAGCTTCCCCACACTTGCAGACCGTTAATTATTAAGTGAATATCAGTCACTTGTCAGCTGTTGCATATCCAATTGCAATGTACTGTAGCACTAAACAAATATTTTTGCTAGCCAGTTCAACACTTTACCCTCACCCAATCCCTAACCAAGAAAATATAGCCAAACATGTCTGTGCAATACATGGGAAAGCACGACATAAAGTACAAATGTAAAAAGCAAAAATAAACCTGTACTTGAGGAATACTAGTAGGTGAACATATGCATTATCATTAAATTTTCACCAGATATACATTAATTATTCCAAAACCCTAATTAGTCCATTCCATAAACCAATCTATTTCAACCAGCATCTGCTTAACTCTCCATTTGTTCCTTCTAATTGACAACTTTCACAACACTAAGGTAGTAAGGTGTAAGGCATACGATGATACGACACTTCAGCTCCTTTCCAAAAGGACAAAGGATCTATACGATGCATAGCCCTGGCAGGAAAGACAAAGGAGGAAAGACAAAGGTAGTAAGGTGTAAGGCATACGATGATACGACACTTCAGCTCCTTTCCAAAAGGACAAAGGATCTATACGATGCATAGCCCTGGCAGGAAAGACAAAGTTGGAAAGACAAAGGAGTGTGCAAGCACCAAGGATACTGTATATAATATACAACACCCACCCAGTCCTCACCCAGCTTTGATGTTAAAATTAAGATATACAGATCTGTCAGCCAAACACAGGAATTTTCCTATTGCCCCCTTGCAAGCTTTGCTCATTTCACCAAGCAGCTAGGTTCAAGCCTACTATTAAAGCAAATGAAAGGATTAACGGCATTAACCTGCACCCCTTTATACCCTCCCCCTCCCCCTCGCCACTCCCATATTCTCTGTACTAGGCCTTTCATATGGCATATTGATAGTGGGAGCAATTAGACTTACCATTTCAATGTACTTCAATTGCTTCATTACTTCTTCAGTTTCCAGTTCCTGACACATTTAAAGATGCAAAAACTCAAATGAATATTTAAAGCATACTCTGATTAAAGCTTTACAGTCCAAAGAGGAGGATCCAAACTTATGATTCCCAATATCAAACTAGACACATAAGACATAATGAACACTCAAATAAACATATAAACCACTTTCTAAAGTTAATAGAGGAGCTAAAAAAGTTATACAAGAAATTTTCAACAACCAGTATTGTGAGCACACCTCATTTTAAAATATAATCATATTACTCTCAACTACTATACTCCTGTTCCCTATTCCAAAACAAAATTCCATAGTATTATACTACAGTATGTTTAGATGCCCTAAAATGATTTCCCAATAAGTTATCCATCCCTACCGGAAACAAAGAAGTTTATACGGGTCTGATATGGGTTTCACCTATTTGTCGACTGGGGACTGAATCATGGGAATGAGGTGTCAAAGTACATCTCTTTAACAAGGAAGTAGTAGTTTAGGTTTACCATAATGTATGATTCACTATGACAAAAATCGGATGGGTTCTTATGTGGTGGCTATTAACACCAAATATGTCTCCAAAATTAGAGAATATAGAGATCTAATAAGAAAATTACAAACAATTGTAGTAAACAATTGTCTCTTTGTAGATTCCATATTTACATTAATTTGTGGTTGTTAGGTTTATTTTTTAGTGGGTGTGCAATAACATAATCATATCTTTGGAGGTGCCACAGGTGACACTTCTTACCCCACCACAGGCAAGAAGTAACGGGACAGGTTTGGGAGGATCTTAGTCTACCCTGAAGCTTCTTAGTTAGTTATGTGATGGACCTTTTGCTTGCAATGGTCCTAAAGCTTTCCACCAAAGGGTGACTTGGTCAATTGTCCAAGGTTAATCAAGTCAACCCCAAGGACCAGTTTGTAGTTCTCCTTTTTTTAAAAAAAAAATACTTGGACACATGTAATTTGGGATATCAAACCTCCTAGGAGAAAGAGCATAATAGGAGAGTAGGCCCTACTTACTCTCCTAAAGTGAAATGGCCTTGTGGTTGGCAATGTTGATTTTGTAACAAAGGGTGGAGCAATGGAGGTAACTGCTCGAGATAGAAAACTCCTCACTCCGAACATTGGGAGGCTCGATCCTCCCAAAAGGTCTAACCCTTAATTTTGGCCAAATTCTAAATAGGTGATTTTTTTTCCTAGCAATAACATGTTAGAAAGACCCACTGCTCTCCCCGTTAAGGCATACCACAAATTACTGGAAGTATAATTATCTGGTGGGTTAATTCACTGAACTTCAACAAATGTACTAAACGCAAAATATAAGCAACGACAAATCTCGGTCCAACAAAATTCAAAATTTTGAGAGATTTCAGAGTGAAAATCACCATTTCATGGGTCCAGAAAGGAGGAGCAAGGTGGACAAAGGCACTGGCTAGCAGCCAGATCCTATATCATCTCTCAAGGAAAAGATTGGTAAATTTTCAAGATCAAAAGCATCATGTTATTGCTCCCATTCGTTTCATTAATAGAGAAGCTTTGAATTGTTTGGGCCTTGATAATGAAATCAGGACATAATTTTTATTGATGTTGGCATGTCTACTATGTTGTCACTATGTGTACACATACGTTTGCTAATTGTACTCTTGAATTGTTATCGAATGTTGTCGAAAACAGGGCATATAATTTTACTTTATAAACAAATTCTTGAATGAGAGCTACTGTATATTTTTGCTTGGACTTTTAATTGAGTATATATGCTGAAATCAACCCATTTGATAATAACACACTTAGTATTTCCATGCTGAAATAACCTGTAAAAGCCTCAAAGGTTAGTGGAGTACTTGTTTAAGGAGGGCTGAGAAAAATTGTTCAGAGTGAGGCTCACTTATCCACTTACCCAGACGCGGAAAAATGGATCACATACCTATGTTGACATGACATGACAGAGATGAACTGATGACACTCACTCAGACATGTGGGGAGGTGGGGGAGTGGGAGCGGAAGTAAGCCCTATGATTTATCAGCCTTGTACATAGGTATATAGATGCAAAGACATAATTACCTGTGGTACAGAACAGTCAGCATGAGATGGATCCCAAAGAACAGAATGAAAACAATCCCAATTGTCAGTCTGGACCTCAAACAGAGGAGCCCTGCATACAAAAAACTATTTGAGTAGGCTCATAAAATATTAGACAAGGATCATGACAAGAATAATGCCAATAAGCAAGTAACAAGCAATGAAAATGCAAGGAATCAATATTTAGGGGAAGGGTATGTTAGTCATAGTCTATTAGTAGTAACTTGGGGAATAAGCTAGAGGTTTGTTAGGAGGGACTTTCTATAAATAGGTATCATTAAGAGGAAAGAGGACATGTTGAATACTGTGTGGTTTGTCATAGGGGGAGAGAGTGAGCCTCTCGAAAGCTCATACTTAGGAGAGAATCCACCTCTCGAAAGTGAAATTATCAATTGATTTACTCATCTTATTAATATAATCATCATTTTCTTCTTATTTTCTGCCATTGTTAGTGCTGTAAACCATGTCAGTTCCTAGCAGAAAAGTCCTGAGTCCTCTATGAAAACAATGTAGACCAGTTGAACAAAAAAATCACTTTAAACAATTTTATTATTATTCCACGTTTCAAGGACCTATGAAAGGACCAAATGGTGTGAAAGCCAGGGTAGCAAAATTCAACACTCTTCAACAAATTCCAGAAAGCTAATCTGTACTAGGAGGAATATGTAATATAGCTTGTTTAGTGCTTAATCAAGTAAAGGGGGTGGGAGTATTTAAATATTTCAAATCAATGCATTTCTATGCTTGAAGATTAATTCAGATGAATAAAAGATTAAATTAGTGAATTTAGAGATCTAGGTCTGAACTTCTTCATGTCAGGAAGAGCCATCTAAAGTTGAAAAAATTGGCATTGAAAGTAGCAATGATGGAAGTATTAATCTCATACTGATGTGTGTGTCTTTATGGTTTTTCTTAGAGAGAGAGAGAGATGCTCCAGGAATGTGAGTCATGTGACCCGTGTAAGGGAGGGACACTAGGTGTGTCCATTTAGTTCACAAAATAATCAAGAAAAGATTAGTATACCTACTAGTGGGCCTTGGCTCCACAACCACAACCATCTCAAAAGAAACTTAAACCTAAAGTGAAATCGACTTGTGCCCTTGTCCTCAAAGATCTGTAGGTTTCTTACCTTCAACGTACAACACTATATAGCTAAATTATAAGTTTACTCACTTTGGTAATCCAAGCCTTTTTTCATAGCCTTTAAAAGAGCATTGGTACAATGATTCTTTCAAATATATATCAAAACCTCTTAAATATATAACACAATAACAACATATTCCATCATGCAACCAGGACATTATCAGACATCCTCAAGCAAGCAACTCAACCATTCAAAGTGATCTTATCCCTACTAAGAATATTAATTACTAACCATCCTAATTTTTCAAGAAACCATCTCCAAAGAATGCACCAACTCCCATGCCATATACTAGTATATTAAGTACATATGTATAATAGGAAAACTGCTCCCTAAATCCATTGTTCACTCTTACACAAGCTAAATACTAAACAAAACACAACAGTCCTGAGATGGGCTTCCAAAAGCCAACTTTATCGGCAACATAAAGCCGAAACCATAAATTGAAAGCCTATGGGCCACTTCTGTAACTGGCCAGACTGCAAATCCTGGAATGAAGGTTCGACCCCATCCGTTTCAGATTAAGAAATCTCCAAAGTGTATCACAATTAGCACCTTCACAAATCCAAGAGCCTCATTTATGATATAAACGGGTCCAGCATTCATCACATATCTAAATTTAGATGAGATCTTGTCAGCTAACCCAATGTATTCCTTTTTTTTTTTTGGTGCAACCAATGTATTCCTTTTCAAATCTCTTTGCTTAGCATAGATGAATTGCCTTTCCATTTTCAGTACTTCACAAGCTCCACTAATTGAGTAAATATGAAAATTTGAAAATTCAGAAAAAACAAAGGTCAAGCACTCAAGCCAGATGGGTGCTCATTAGCAAGGCTAAATGAAACCATCCCCTTTTTAGAAGATCTTAGCTACCATCCCGCTGATAAGTTTGAATCATTTCATATTTTAATATCATTATATGTAATTGTTAACTCGTTAGTAATAATGCTCAGGTTTTTATTATTGTTTCAGAAAGTAAATAATGTGTTTTGGGCTATTTTAATGTATAATTCGTGAGCTTGCAATATAATAATTAATTTATGTCTGATTATTGTGTCATGGTGATATTTTAGTATAATTTTTATGATTCAAAGAGTGATTAGTTGGTTTGATTGGAATGAGTGCAGGTGTGGAGGTCACTAACGCAAAGAAGGCAAATAAATAAGACAAGCCCATCCCCATCATTTACCATGGATTGAAATGCAGCCAACATTAGCATCAAAAGGGAAAAGAACTAGTCTTTCCCTTATGAATATCAAAGCCCACGCACAAACTAAGCACCAAGAAGAAAAGGAAATGTTATTTTCCTTTAACGCAAGAACAGCAGTGGCAAGAATCAAAGAACGAAGAAGGAAAAAAAATATTTTCCTAATGAGATCAATATACATCACGCAAGAAAGGAAAGAAAGAGATTGAAATCCCACATAATTTGTCAAAGATTGGATCTCGGAGAGCACGATTCTGCAGCAGCAAGTATAAAGAGAACAGAGAGGACAACCGCACTGGGGCATCGGAGGAGCAGTGACAAAGCACGGAGAAGGAGAACGGAGCCGAATTTGAAGTTTTCAAGCAGACAATGAGTTATCATAATTGGGTGATGTTCTCTTCAATTATGAGTTAGCTAATTCCTCAATTCTAGGGCTTAGATGAAACCCTATTAGTATGATTTTATAATTAAATTGTTTGAGAATTATTTCTGGTTTTATGATTGTACAATTTTAGATTATTTTGCTCAATTATTGCTTTCCAATTTACGTAGATAATAATTCTTGTAGAACTATTTATTGGCTCAATTGGTTATCTAATTTACATCCTTTGTTCTTGTACTCCAGCGTGTGATGTTATGCAATGGTGCTTATTGATTTGTGAGCAATTAGTTGAATAATTTATGCTTAAATAGATGTATTATGTCACCTACTTGGTCACGATATTATTTACTTTAGAGCATTATGGACATATAGTCTTGGTTGCTTGATAAAACCTATTACTTCTCTTTGTAATTGAGTTATTACTCGTATTAATGGTGGTGAATTCGACCGTCCTAGAGTCCCTCTATATTTGATTGTTCTCTGTGATATTTCATTATTCTTGCCAATATTTGTGTCATTTAAATACTGTTTTAGTTCATTTAGTTAAAACTACTCAATCTATCTTTTCAATAGAATTAATTTAGTAGACTAAACTTAGAGTTATTCTATGTTCCCTGTGGATACAATACCCAATTATTTATCACTATCTATTAAGAACTTGTACACTTGCAAGAATGTAATGAACCGACTTAGTTGAAGGGGTATTATAGGTAGCTTAGTATATTGGTAGTCTAGTCTGGTACTATTAGGTTAGTAGTCTTAAGCTTTAGTATAAATAGAGAGAGGAAGGGAAAGAAAAGAGTAGGCAGAAATTTATTAGGGAAACCTAGAGAGAGTCATGGCCAAAAGCCATTTTGGAGAGTTGTGAGCTAAACTCGCTATTTGAGAGTAATAGCCTTAAGCTATTAAGCTATCTTTTGTAACACTTTCACCATTATTGATCAAGCTTAAAGCTTTCATCTTTATTAATTTGCTAGTTAAAATTCAGAAATTCTTGCTGTTACACTGGTTTTGCAATGTGACCGAACTCAGTTCATTACAAAGAATAGGGTTTTAAAGCTTGTCTAAAATCACTAACACCCGCAAGTCTCTTTTGTAGTCCAGTCCCACAACAATTGTCCAAAAATAGGTTCAACTTAAAAGGAGTTATAAACAAATGAAAATTCAAGGACTGTAAAAGAAGGTAATACTTCATAACTGAAAGATTCAGCAAGAAAATGCAGCAGGAGAACTGTAAAATCAGATGAATCTAAAAAACAAAAAGGAGAGAGAGAGAAAAGTTGGGAATGAGCATGCCTAAAAGAGAAGAAAATAACAAACAAGTTGCAAGACTTGCAATATTTGCATTCCAGATTACCTGCGCCACTTTCCACATATAGTTCCATCAATGTTGTCTCCCATGCCAACAATGACATCTCTACACTGAAGCCAATTACCAATAAAGGCCTTATGAGGTTTGCCAGATTTAGGTCCCTGAAGAGAAAATATTAGGAGTCATCTTTTGCCGGAGAATGTGAATCATATAAGACAGACCAATAATTGTGTTAAATGCAAATTTGTAAGCCTCACCGGAAAATTGACTGATAGCAATGGATCCAACTCCATTGGTTCAGAAAAGAAACTGACTCCCCTGCATCAAACCAAAAGCAGATATAACTTGTAAAGAAAACACAATTTCATTAAACTAACAAAATAGATATATAGATGAACAGAAAAGATGACAATTGAACTGTAGGCACATTATTCTGTTTGCTCAAGGTGTAAAAAACTTGAGCTACAAGTTCATTTTCAGGGTGCACAGTTCTTAAAACTGTATGTGCATGTTTTTTCTCAGATTCAACCTGACAAATTATGCACTTATAGCTCAAATATCACACCCCCTGACAATGGACTTGTAGTTCAAATGTTTATGTGCATGTGCATCTGTGCCTCTGTACCTTTGAGCCTGCAATGCTTTTTATTTGCCTGATTTCCTTATGGACTAGTGTTTAAGAGTTAAATCTTCAACTTCTAGAGCCAGAGATCAGGCATTGGCATCTACTTTCTCTCCCCCAGCCTTCTACATTCTATTGGAATCCAGAGGGCGGTAATTGTGCAAAACATTCTCTTGTTTTCATATAGTTTTTTGCTAGTATTTCAAATTACAACAGCAAAAGAGTAGCAAGTATAGAGGTACATACTTTCGAGTAGAATGCTTCAAGCCTCTCCCAACTTCCCAAGTACATTTATTTATTCCTATCTACTTCCTTGACTCCATTGCTTATTATTGCAACCACATGGATAATTCTGCTTACCATCTCACCATTCACCGCCCCCCCCCCCCCTCCCCCCCAAAAAAAAAAAAAAAATTCTCACCTCTCCCCTCCACGGAAAGCTTACCCCTACTTTCTCTCTCCCTTCACTAAAATTTCCTGACTAGTAGCAAGTAATACTCCAAAATTATCAAAGGATTTGAGCCATTAGTGATCCAACTATGATTCTAACCCCTCCCAAGACTTCTCGTATTTCAATCATAACAGTCCTCTAATTTTGTCCAAATCATAAGATATGGTTCCCTATAGATGGAAAGTTGTATGAGGCAAAGATGGGAAAAAATCAATAATTGGCAAACATAACGGAGAACGAAAAAAAGAAAGTATATTTTTCTTTATAGACCATTGGGAAAATATATACTCCCTTCATCCCAAAGCAAGCTTCCTCATTACTATTTTCAGACATCCAATCCCAAAAGTTACAAAAAATATAGACAAGGGGTGTCACCTTAGTTCTAAAAGACACACCAGAGCCGAGATACAAAGGGTTCCTACCATGGTTATAAATTTCAAATGGGGTCACAATCAAGGTAATGATAGCAGAACCTCTTCCGCGGGTAATGTAGGTGGCATGTGGCTATTGCAGCCTAATATTTCGGTCCCAGTAAGCTTGAAGCCCTTTGTGTAATTGTGATGCAGTGACACACCTAAGATTTGATACCATGGTCCCTACACCCTACGAAAGGCGAAAGCGCCCACTTACTATCTCTTCCCTCTCTGCGGGACCCACTCAGATATTAATCTTTTCCCCTTTTCTTTTGGATTTTGCGGTATAGTTATGTATCAACAAAGCCCAAACATCAAGCAAAATAGAATCCAAACAAAATTAAAGCCTTTGTAACTTTAACTACAGGCCACATGAGAGAGAGAGAGAGTGGGAAGGGGGGGTGATGGAGAGCATCACAACCTACAACTCATACTCTTGAGACCCTTGTTGTATCCTCGCAAGTCGCAACTTCAACATGGTATTAGAACTAGACAAATAGATACTTTGACACAAGACCCAAGTCCAAGCAGCATATATTACAAATTTACAACACTTACTTCAAGAACTTTTAGTTAATATTAAGTTTTTCCCTTAGCATCTATCTGACAAGCAACAAGGGCAGGCTTGCCTTGTGCCTTTCCACTAGGTCATTGTTCACCTAAGAGGCATTCAATAAATAGAGGGGGTCTCCCATATACAAATAGAAAGCAAAAGACAACAAATTATGCCATCAAGCTACCATGAAGTAGTTTATCTCCAAAATCAAGCCAAAAGATACTCACAAACTACTACATAATACTTTCACTCCAGCTTTACAAGAGCCTTAAGCATTGAATCTTAAAACCTAGTCCGGGGGAAGCTATCCCCTCAAAAATTCATTTGTCATCCCATAAAATTCATATGTCGATTATATCCCTTTTAAGTATGTGTGAAGACTCTTCCCAATAAAATCCCTTCACATTAACCCTAACCCCATACCCATAGGATTACACAATCCAATAACCACCCCAACACACTACTAGCTTGTCAAAGGAAACACATTTCAAAGATCTATATCCTCCTCAAATTTTAGTCTTACAAGGTAGAACTTAACAAATCCTATTAGTATAGATAAATACAACATGACAGGGCCTAAGCCTAAGGACATTAGAAAATGATTCAATCAATTGATCAAGATTACAAATAATTACAGTGGGTGATATGAACAGTATCCTTTCATTTTCACCAGATTGAGCAAGGAAAAAGTATCAGCAAGTACGGAGGACACCTAAATGGACAAACAACCATAAATCCACAATCCAAAAGGCATAACAGTAGGAATTAAGGAAAGGCAACAAACCTACACTACTTACTTCTACAAGCAATATTAAATGGATCTGATGATAAGCTGAACCTAACCTGCATGTCCTAAACCAATTAAAAGATATCAAACTTCAAACCTCCCAAAATTTCTCCTACCAGAACTACATAGTAGATACCTAACTTGTCATCCTACAGGCATTCACAATTTTGCTGAGTGGAAGAGCAAATTATACAACCGTGACATTTTCCACAACACTTTCACACACCCAAAAATCCAACAAAGCAGTTCTGATTGAAATAAACATAAGATTTCTCTGGCAATTCAAACACTAAAACAAGAAATCTCATTCCATAGCCAACTGACAAATTAACCAAGCAAAATGGCTATGAACCCGGATATTAAGATATGAAGCCCCTACCAAATACCATTTCCAAAAGTAATACACCATAGTATATAAGTTCTCCCCTATAAAAGAAATTCCATGTTGCTCAAGAAAAGATTGATCACAAATGATAATGGAAAAGCGGCTAATAGATTTCTGACTCAATCATCCCTGCAAAAGGCCAACATGACTTTTTTTTTTTTCTTTTTTTTTTTTAATAAATTAGCACATAGATTATTGAGCATAAGTATATTCCACATAGCTCATCATGTGTTTCCCCATGACCTTGTTTCATAGAGCTAACTAAATTACCTATTAGCTGTAGTAAGCAACTCTCCTCACTACCCACCATACCTTGAATTGGCTTTATTATGATCCCATACTTTCTCTGAGCTAACTAAAAGATATGATCAGATTTAAAAATAACCACAACAATATAAGATACCTCCACAGTCCCACACCTATCAAAGGTACCACGACATCCACTCTTACTAAATTAGATAGCTAGTACCTACTGGTGAAAAATAAGTCATTCTTCACTAAATGTATATCAACTACATACCTGTTAAAGGTTATAGTTGTCACTTGTTAGCTAACATAGAAAAGGTTACATATGTAATTGTGCCAATTTGTCATGAAGATACTTAAAGCTAATTGATTGGAACATACCGTGTAACAGGTCCACACCACTCAGGAACGAATGCTTGGAATCCTTTACCAACCCGGACACTAGTTATGTAAGGCTGAGAATCATTTAGCATCAGTGCTATTGGACTGAAATCTCCTTCAGATGTCACAGAGCCCTTATCAGTCCTGATAATTGATGACTTTCTTACTGCTCTCTCTTTTAACAAGTTATGCTTCTTTTTAGAGCACGGTTGACAGTACCAATCATCAGTCGGAATCTTTCTTATGCACGGATTGAAGCATGATATATGGAAGGCTTTCTCACACTCATCACAAATTAGCATGTTTGTGTCTGCTGTACCGATTCGACTACAAACATTACAAGTTCGAGAACAACTACTGCCACTACATGATGGAGCATCTTCCTCAGAAGTACCAGATCTATTTGACCCAGAATCAGACAACAAGCCATGACTTCGAAGAATAGAAACACAAAGACCCTTAACCGATATCGATTGGTCATTTCCCGTCACATCTACAACAACTGCACCAGAGGATGAACACTCATCAGTGTCATCTACTTTATTCTTCAGCGGAGACGAACCACTGTCCATATCAAGCCTCGACGATGAACAACTATCATCTACACTATACAACTCAAAAGCCTTGTGCATCTTGTCTTTTACATCAAAGCCACGGTCCTCAGTCACATAACCATCAATTGCCTCCGATGTTGTCAATGGTTGTTCTATTGAAAAAACCCTAGTAGCCTCCCTTTCATTTAATCCTCTTTTTCTTGTGCCCAGGGGTATGGCAATGGCATCATTATCTGATCTGATACCCGAAGTACAGGCACCATTAGGTAACGAGTTTTCCGAGACCATAGCTGTAAAATTAGTGGCTACACTCTTTTGATTCTTTCTTCTTTCATAGACAAAAGTAATATTATCAGGTGATAGGGTTGGGAAAACAGGAACAGGGTTCTTAGAAACCCTCTTTCTGTGATACACAAAATTAAGGGCAGAAGTTTCAGATGTAATACTGAGACCTGATAACTGTGAACAGCTTTGCATATTACTCAACATGCCTACACCAACATCAACTGCTCCACCCCCAAAAGCATTCCCCGTCTCGGGTTTCGAATCCATCTGCCATACATTACCATCCAACAAAATTGACATTCTCAAATCTACCAATGAAATTCAATTCAAATTGACATGCAATATCACCACATAAACATCAAAGAAAACCAATAAATTCAATCAAACAAAAAGGGTAATTAAATCACTTACCACTATTTAAAACCCTAGATATCTGCTGCTTATCAACCCAATCAAAACCCCAGGATTTTTGTTCTATTTCAGTCAATTTCGTTCAATCTGTGGAATAATTGGTTAAATTGATTCCATAGTATGCATTTTCAGGAAAAACACAATCTAGAATTGCAAACCCATGAAAAAAATTTAAGCCCCAACTTCAATGCATGAATTACACAAATAAAGTATGCAGAAAATTAAGAAATCATGCACATAGAATATTCAAGAAATTAACTTTGGGTAAGAAAATTGCTTGAAATTGGATAAAATTAGTGGGTTTTTTTGATCGACAGAAGTAAGTGGGGCAAAAGGGTGGGTGAGTCAGGCGACAGAGAGGAGGGATGCACGTTTGAGGGGCTGGTGGTGGGATGCCGGACTGTGTGAAGAGGGACTAGGACTAATGATATTTGTGCATTTAGAGCAACATCACACTTCCAAATATCCTAGAAAACAGCAAAAATATAAAAATCTATATGTAGGTATCATGCTATAATTAATTCGTGTCTACTGAGTTGAGAGAAGACACAATTACGACAATGTATAGATGTGTGTCAAGTGTTTGTTATGAACAAAGTGTTGGCCTGGTGGTGAGCAAGAAACTTTCTGTCAAGTATTTATTGCGAGCAAAGTTTTGACTTGGTGGTAAGGAAGGAACTTTCTTTCAAGTGTTTGTTACAAGCAAAGTGTTGGCATGTTGGTGAGGAAGGAACTTTCTATCAAGTGCTTATTACGAGCAAAGTGTTGGCTTGGTGGTAAGGAAGGAATTTCAATGTTTGCTACGAGCAAAGTGTTGGCCTGGTGCATTGGTGGTGAGGAAGGAACTTTCTAATTACGAGGTTGGGGATATAGTTCATATCAAGGACATACTTTGATAGTAAGAGATTCCCTTACCATAAACAAACTCGAGTTGGATTGACTTATGAGAGGTTTCAGACTAGTAGAACAATTCTATCTATTAAGGACACACTTTGAGGGTAAGAGATCCCCTTACCATAAACAAACCCGAGATGAATTGACTTGTAAGAGGTTTCATACGGATAAAATAATTTTTTTTATTGAAGAAAGGATGGATCCACAAGGAAACCTCTTATTTTTGTGAGGGGAAACCAAATTGAATGAAATTGTTTTTGGGTCAAACCATAAGAAAACCTCTTGTGGAGGGCTTTACAATATTACATGTTATCTTATTATAATGAAACTTAATGGCATAATCATATAAATCAATGCAATACTAAAAGTGATTGTTCATTTGGTTGATGGTTTTTGAGTTGAGCAAGGTTAGTGCAATCAAATCCAATTATTCAATATCGAAGTACTATAATTTATTCCAATTATAATTATAGGAAAATATTTGCATTCAATTATAGGCACTTAAATTTCAAACATCATAAAATCTTTTATGTAGAGAACGGAGCAATTACTTTCCTAATCTTCTTTTAATTACAACATTTGGACTTTTACACTATTTACATACACTTTTATTCATTTTTTGTGATTTAGACATTAAGGAAAGATATAATAAATCTAGCTTAGTCTTTTCTTTTTTTTTTTTTTTTTTTTTTTTTTGAAGAAGAAAGATCTAGCTCAGTCTTGATATAAAGTATCTAAATTAAGGCATGATATACTATAATTCTATTATTATACTATGTTCTAATCTATTAATTATTATAACAACAAACATGTTTAAGCATTTAGAAAATTAGGATAACACTTCTAAACAATATTACAGTGACCTATAGTAAAAGTGTAAAACCAATAGCAACTTGTTTACGCGCGAATGATAATTGACATGTATATGTTTGCTACAAGAATTTTGAACTAGATAATATCATAAAAACTCCTAATAGAACTTTAATACAATAGGGAAGTTGCATTCTCTAGAATCTGTATTACACTTCTCAACCAATTAGGATTTGGGAAACTTTATTTCGATTACAATCCAAACTAACACAATCTGCTAGCTGTAAAGCACATTATGTCATTCTACATTTGCAGGTTTCAGGATCTATCTGCAGACTAAACTTGAAACGTTTATCTTCTTCGTATGTGTCGGCAAAGTTCAGCATCCCTTCACGAATGAAACTTACCAATTCCATTCTGTGAATGATCAAGACCTTTTTCTATTGGCCATTTCGCCCCTGCCATGACAGCTTCAATCTCCCATGTCTCACGCGGAACATTGGTCATGTTCTTGCAGCCGGTTGAGGTGACGTACTGAATAATTCAACAGGAACAAAGTTTAGAAAAGACCTTCACTCCCACACATTCATGCAGCTAAAAGAAACAATTGTGACAGTAATAAAAAGCAAATCTATGATCGTTAATAAATATAAACATTGAACTAAAACGACAAGAACAACCAAGCACCTTGAGGAGCCATGTGGAATTGCCAATGAAGTACAAAGAACAAGGATGACAAATTGACAACAGAGTTCAAGAAAAGCATGAAAAAAACCCACGACACCAGTGAATTGAACACAATATTAAGAGTAATAGGACAACTGAACAATACCACATCACTTTCAATTCGAACACCACCAAAGTCCATAAATCTCCTTATTGCATCAGCACTGAAGAATCTCGAAGTTTCTGAACTTTCCATTGCTGGAATCAGTAAAGCACTGATGAAGTAGCATCCAGGCTCTACTGTAATTACCTGAAACAGGTTGGTTAAACAAGCTCTTTATTTGTTTATAATTACTTATTTTGTGCGTATAAGACAATACAAGCACACATCAACAATGATAAACGATTTATAGTGCACTGACCATTATATTTTAAAAATTAATTGAAAAAAGGACGATGCACGACAGCAGGACGTGGCAGCTCAAAGCATAGAGTATAAATTTCCTTTTATCAATAAGAAAGGATATGCAAAATATTGTTGAGAACTTTAAGGTATACCCTCTGAACAATGGCTAAGGATTATGAAGCATTCCAGAAGTAGCATCTTCTGGAAGAATTAAGTGTTACATGCACATGTTTAAGTGTGAAGTATGAAACAAAAAAACATATGCTAACCATGTGCTCCTTTAGTTCTCGGGCTGTACGTAGAGAGCTTAACCCGGGTTCTTTTGGACGCTCCAGTCCCTGCAAATTTACAAACCAGTTAGCATAAATCAGAAACACCAAGAGCTAAGAAAGATTGAAGATGAAGAGGATAAGCAACCAAAACCTTAGGATAGCCTCCTGGATCATGGGTGTCGATGCCCAACAAGTGACCAAGACCATGAGGCATAAAAACAGCTCCCAGCCTTTGAGCCATCATATCCTGGATATCACTATAAGAAGAGAAAATCAGGGAAGAATAACATGAGAACAAGAGTTTACACATGACATGAAAAGAGCAATAGGCACCGTCTTACCCAGTGATGATGTTCCCTTTCTTTAAAGCCTCAAGTATGACTTTCTCAGCAAGTCTGACATCAATATGGGCAGTACAAAAATCACAAAAAGAAAATATAAGAAAATCAGGCATAATGAAGGTACACCTTATCCAACAGAAAGTAGACATGTCAACAGAAATAATATAATTCCAAATGCAAGTACAATTTCCAGAAAGACAGATAATTCATATATTTTGGCATTGGGATACTCAGAGCATTTCATGAAGCCAGATCTATGATTTCCTTCTCTAGAGAGAGAGAGAGAGAGAGGTCCAACAAGAAAGTGTAAACTCTAATTGGCCTTAAGGAAAGAAAGAAATGTCCCATCTGACAGCAGAGAATAAAAATACATGCTCTCTAGTTAGCTAATCTTCATCATATAGTCAACCACCAAAAACCCAAACTAAAAAATGAAATAGAAATGATTGTTGTTGTTCATTTGAATCAAAATTATCTTCAACAGAGTTTTTAATAGTGGCCTCTTCAGCTTTGGAGTACTTGGGAGTTGGGCCATGGTCTTTTCTTTTTAAATGAAAAAAAAAAAAAAAAAAAATGATACAGGTTACCATGTTCATATATAAAATTTTCATTCAGTTAAGAGTATAGATTAAGAGTTAATGTAAAACTTCCCATTACAGCTTATTTACAAGCAGTCAGTCAAGACTTACACAAACTCTTTCTGAACAGCATTGCAGTAACAAACTGTGTAGTTCAGATAAGCTTTATATTAGCCAAAATTGGTGGGAACTTCATCGATCAGGTTGGTAGTTCTATTTGCTTCATTATCTATAAAAAAAATATTGGGTTGAGGGGCAAAATATATTAGATGAAAATGGGAGCTTTCTACTTTTACTTTTCTTTTGTTCACTTTATCTTTTAGTTTCAAAATAGGAAATACCCCAGATAAGAATCCTTGATCTGATGATAAAGCCATTTTGAGTTAAACTCCATGTGTAGCAGTAGTCCCAGCAAATTGACGATTTGATTTTGTTTCACTGCTGCAGGGCATTAGAATGCTTTGACTCAGATAAAATGCCAGCCTCGGGTATGGAAATTTCTCAACTCGAAGATAAGGAAAATACCGAAGAGCATCCAACATAACAATGTGGACACATCACACATAAGCATGGATTATTTCATGTCTAAGAAGGAGAGTAGTTATGCTTTCATTCAGACCAAAATAATACAACTATCCTGTTGAAAAGTTAATAATTCAAGTGTCCACATCCAATCAAAGTGTCAAGTAACCCACACAAATATTAAGCTGATATGAAGAGTCGGATCATCATTAGTTAGCAAGATGACAGAACAAAGAGTTGACAAAGATGCCATTATTACCCTAGAAGGGAAAGGGGAAGGGGTTGTTGTATGAGAGGATATGAAGCTCATAGAGTTAAAAACAAAAGGTAACACATTGATAACTAGGTATCTCTTAAGGGGTCAAGTCGTGATGATGATCACCTGAAAATCTTAATTTCTTCATAAATCCATGGAACAAAATTAAGCTCTCTACAGTCTAAGGCATGCCCCAAATGTGCCCTATAAGTGTTCATATTCTTCATATAAATAAGTAAAAGGGCATGGAACAAAATTAAGCTCTCTACAGCCTAAGGCATGCCCCAACTGTGCCCTATAAGTGTTCATATTCTTCATATAAATAAGTAAAAGGGAAATACTGTCTGGCAAGTCCATTAAATCGACAAATGTACACAGATTGCACACACTATTGTTTAAGGATATGTGAAGGATGGGTTTAAATAAGTAAGCATATACTGAGATACAGAAGCCTTAAGCTACCAGTTTGCCAATGTGGAGAGATTTGAATAGAATTATGATTCTATAAATTCCTCAGATTTAGGGGCCTTACAGTATTAAAGCGGAATAAAACATCAGCATATAATGTTTTGTTGAAGCAAAATCTACATGCTCTATAGAGCACATGTCTTGAACAGAATTCACCCAATATTAGTATCTAACATTCTGACTGTCAAACACTTTAAACATTTCAAACCATTCTAGTATCGAAAACATTTCTCAGGGACAGACAAAAACTATGCAAACATCAACAGAAATGCAGCAGAAAGCAATAACTATAAAAAGGGACTCAGAGTCTCAGACAGTCTTACTTGTGCATATTTACCCAATTTACTCCAGGTTTCATTGCCGCTATGACAGAATTGTGAGCATCAAGGACAGCCTGCAAATATGAAGAAAATTTTTGGAGAATGCGGCAACAAAGTTGTCAACTTTAAAAGTCAAAGAGCGACCGTAACTCAGAAGATCATAGCATACAGCTAAAGAAGAAACTCACATTGTATATAAGACATTGGTCAACAGTAAATTTTCCATTTACCTGAAGCAAATAAACAAGAACTGTAATCAGAGTCAGAAGACAAATAGCATCATCGCTTGAATAAAGAGTGAGACAAATCCAGATGTAAAGTATAACATTTATCTGTATAAAAATAACAAGAAAGTACTAATGAAGCAAATCCAGATGTGAAGTATTAATAAATCCATAATGTGGTAAATTGAATATAGCCAACTATTTGTGGGCCCTAATATATTTTCTTCCCCCATCTCTCTCCAGAATATGGGCAAATTGTATACATTGCTGACTTTTCTACTCCCTAAAAGTTCTCGCTCTCCCTCTCTCAACAACAACAACAAAAAAGTAAGTATTCTTTAAGAGGATAAGCCATAACCACCAATTATTTGTGTTATCTAGCATCACTATTCATTTTCATCATAATCCATTTCTTTAGTGTCCATTTGTTCGTCTTGTATACCAACCTCTCCGATTCATCCTCCATAAGAATTTTATTGGAACTTTGTGGTAAAAAATAATCCTGAAAAAAAAACTTTTCTTTTTAAAACCTGTGAATATTATTATTTCTGGAGCTTGTCTTAAAATTATTTTGTCTGAAATTGTCTGCTGAGTTAGTAAAAAATTACTTGTATATTGTCTGAATTTTTTTAAAAAAAATACTTTGTCTGAACTAGGGCTATTAATGAGCCAAGCCTGCTCGTGAACTATTCGAGCTCGGCTCGGTCAAAGCTCGGCTCGCCAAGGCTCGGCTCGAGTTCGGATTCGGCTCGAGACTAAACGAGACGATACACGAGCCATGCTAAGCTCGGCTCGAAAAGCTCGCGAACGGCTCGAATTATTTTCTTAAAATAAATATAATACTTCCTCTGTTCTTTTTTACTTGACCTGTTTCATTTATCATGCTTGCCAATGAAGAACTTTAACAATCTATAGCTATAATTCCCTATAAGTAAAAATTATAAAAGTTATATATTATGATAGTACTTATTGAGACAAATCTAACAAGAACCCACGTGAATATGTTTTTACTTACATATAATTCACAAAAGATGATCAAAGAAGGGGTGGCAAATAGTGTATAAGTCAAAGCGGGTCAAGTAAAAGAACGGAGGAACTATGTTTTTTACATTTAAATAAAGTTAACAAGTTAATAAGCACAATAACAACAACCCACTATTATACTTGGATAGTTTGGGTAAGTTATGTGACATAGATTATGTATTTATGGGCCTAATTTCAAAATCGAGCTTATAATGAGCCTGATTTCGATCTCGAGCCGAACCACGAGCCAAGCTCCACTTTTTAGCACTCGAGCTCGAGCCGAGCTCAACAAGCCTTGAAAATTGAGCCGAGCCTCAAACCCACACTCACGAGCTCGAGCCAAGCCTACCAGTATTCGGGCTCGGCTCGGCTCATTAACAGCCCTAGTCTGAACTTATATTTTGTCTAAATAAGTAAAAAAAAAAATTAGATAAAATACAAGCAGCAAATAGACCTAATAGTACCAACAAGGCAACAATTAGTCCATTGGTACCAAGAATATTTATATTGGTACACAATATATTTCCCTGTTTTTATTCCTCTTCTCACCTTTTCCCTCCCATGCTATCTATCTCTCTGTTTTTGTCCCCTTTCTTCAACCTTTCTCCATCTCTAACCTGCTATTTTCACTTTCTACTGCTATTTCTCTCCCTCTGTCTCATTCTCGCCTATTCAAAGGGTTTCGAGGTGCCTACAGCCAATAATACATCAACCGCATTTCCAGAAGAACTTTGCATGAATGTGTAATTTGTGCCCTAGAAAAAACACATAACTTCAAGACTAGTATCCGCAAAAGCAGCTTTTTTCGTATCTTTCAGCACATATATGTATAATACACACCAACAAAAGCAAACTAGTACTTAAGAAAGAATTTCCGATGAAGCTACATACAGGGAACGAACAGGTTATGTCAGAACCATAAAAATGATATTCAGCTCCCATGTCCAGCAAAGCCATATCTCCATCCATAAAAGTCTGCAGAGAGGTAAATGTGAGAATAGATCTATAAGCATCAGGGTGATATAAAAGAGTAAATAATATAAAACACCTTCAAAACAACTCGTAAGATGGTTTAAATCTCCTCTCTCTTCCCTATTTTAATAGTTTAACGTTTTCTTCACAATCCATATTAACCGTATACATATCTTATATAAAAAAAACCTCATTCCATCAATCCATCTTGTATATAAATGGTTAAATCTTTCCCTAAGGAGCCTTCTTTTCACTGGTAGTAGCTTTTTGGTGCAGTTACCATGAAAAACTGACAACTTTGGTATATTAAGAAAGTTGAGTTGCTAGGTACAACATACCCTTTCATTTGGAGCCGCTGCATGCCCATAGTGAAGAACAGAACTGCAGGGAAATATACTGTTATAACGGATGCAAGAAAGATAATGAAAAACGACAAACAAAAGAACATAGATTTACAAGGTTCACCAACAATGCGTTGGCTACGTCCACAGGGCAGGCGAGAGGAAAGTTTTATTGTTCTTGAGGAAAAATACAGATTACAGATTGATAATAAATATCATGACAGCTAGGAATAAACCCACGGAGTTTATATAGTACTCTCAAAAAACAGAATTTGGAAAGCGCTAAGGCCCAAACAGAAACCGGAGCCGGGGAACATTAGTCACACCACAAGGCAAAGACTCGCACGCGGCCCGAGCGTGCAGCTCCTAGTGCATGCAAATTTGACACTCGTGCGTGCCCGAGCTCTAACTTGCTTGCCTATTGTGCACCAAAACGAACTTCGAGCGATAGACCCTACTGAGCGTCATTCGTCTACGAGCTACCTAATGAGCTAAAGCTCTATTGTTCAATCATCGATTCTAAGCATAATTCAACATATACCACTCGAGTGACAAAATTTATAGAAGTATAAGTTACATTTTAAAGACGACATGTGAACTTCACTAGGCAAAAAAAATTATATCCATTTCCTTCTCTTTGTTGTTATGTCATTTTCTTTGGTCTGAGTTTCAAGGAAAATGAGTAAACTGCAACAACCAACACAATTTATATATGCAATGATGCAACACAGTCCCAAGTGTTTACTGAATATTGAGTCGCTATCTGTGGAGCTTTTGGAAGGATTACAGCCAAGAGTAGGTGATGCACTCCTGACCTTATCGTGAGCAAACACAAATAATAAACTAAGCTAATGAGCCAACAAAATACCGAAGTTGAAATGATGATACAAAGTACTTAAGACTCTTTTTTTGTGTTTTGACTTGCTTTTGACAAATATTTGGAGAAAACTAACTTAACTCTAGTATAAGAGAGGGATAAAGATACTGAACAATAGAGCTACTCAGATTTAGACTCGTTACTAAAACATGAATGTAAACAAACACCCAAAGCTTTCTAAGAACACGGCTAGGCTTACATATATGATTAGCTCCAATTGAAATAGAGACGACCTTGCCACACAAAGCACTAGATCTAATTGTAGAAATCTAAATTTCTGATTCACTAAGGTTCCATCAAAAAGTAAGGACAAATCAGATGTTTATGCAGGGTAGCTGGCCAAAGCTTTTATCGCATTGATATAAATTAGTTACAAAATGTCATTGTACTGATGACAATACCAATCTCATGAAACAACTTCAACCCAGTAATGGAAATTTCAGAACCAAGCTGTCAAGAGGCCAGAGTGGCCACTTGAGTTCACAGACTGCTTCAGTTCTTTGAAAATATCATCACTATATGTTCCCCTTAAATAAATCAAAGAAATTATAACTAGCACTAATTGCATCAAGATAACTGGAAACAAACCCACAACACTCACAATTAAGATTAGGTTATCCAGAAGAATGTAGTCAGAACAGAATATTCTGCTACATGTCTCTTATCCACATATGTTTCAAGGATTTGAAAACAGTAATGAATTAAATCTAATTTCTTTTCAATTGACACACCACCGTCAAAGTGGTTCCACATATTTCCACAATTAATATACAGGAAAATGTAATGATTCGGCCTTTGAATCTACAATACCATTTATCTTTCTCAAACAAGTCCAACAAGCAATAGCCTTGAATTTCTAGAGGCCTTTGGTTCCATATAAAGCCTAGATAAAGAAAATGACAGAAGTGATCACCTGATTTTTAAGAGCAAAAGAGATTCTCAAATTTTATAGAATTGAGCAATTGAAAAAGGAACATGCCGGTAGCAGTAGAAACCCTAAATCCCACACATAGAAAATAGATTTCCCCCAAAGAAAATTTCAAAGCAACTATTTGAACTTCTTTACATAGCAATGAAAGAACAATCAATCAATCAAAACCTTAATCCCATAAGTGGGGTCGGCTACATGAACCAAAAGTGAAATAGCAATGAAAGAACAGATGGAGATAAATAAAAGCTCATTAAAAGCTTATAGGGGCAAAAGTATAAACCACATAAGAGGATAACAGTCTAATATTTCAATACTTTATCCCTAGCAAAGATCTAGTAATGATAAACGAAAGCAATACCTATTATCACCTGTGGCACAAATACAGGTGTATGAGCAGTGCCTACAGCCACCATACATATATGTGTGATGAAGGAACAAGCTTTCCATTTGGTATTCTTTCATCCCAACATTTGTATTTCTCATTACCTGCCAGCCAAACATCATCGTAATAAAATTACTAGCAATAAAATTAAGAAATTTTTGTTCCGTGAAGAATGAGAATATTAAATGTATCCAATATGTAGCATAATAGATAGGATTGCTTGAACTCCTGCAGTTCAAGCCCATAAGTTTGACAGAGGGTAAATGCAGCAACCAAATACAAGAAACGAGTAAAAAGAAAAACACAAAGGCAAAGGCTATTACATAAATTTAAGGAAAAAAAAAAAAGAAAAAGAGGAAAGAGTAAATCCCAGCAGAGTTTCTTGACAGAAAGTACATACATGAAATATTTGCTCATGCTGAATTCAAACTTGCTTCAGATAATTTGATAATGCAAATTCCTTCGTTATATTTTTTACAACAGTTCCTCCCTTATGAAGTATATGGACTTGCATGAGGGTGATGTATTGGATCGTAAGGGATGGAGGAGGAAGATTTTTGTGGACGACCACACGGAATAATCATTTTTGGTTCATGTAGCCGACCCCATGTATGGGATTAAGGCTTTGATTGATTGATTCCTCCCTTATCACCGAAGATATTGTATTACTTTTTTCTTGTATTCAGTTTATTTTTGACATACTCCCTATAAAGCTATAACTCCCTGGTCAGGATCATATCAAAACTTTAAACTATTCAGCTTTGAGAATAACGTTTAGAAAATCCAGCAAAATGAGAAAGTTCATTTGATGAATTGTATAATAATACGGAGTTATTTATTTTAAAAATGTCAAATATAATTTAATAACCATTGTATATAGAGTTTACGTATAATATTGGACAAGGATGTTACTTCATTCTTCATACAGAAGTCATTAAGAAAAGTGGAAAGGATCTTTAGATTCTTTGTCACGCCAAATACATGAACTGGAATTCCTAAACAAACATACTCCCTCTGTCGTCCTAATTTAGTTTGCCTATTTTCCTTTATCGTTTGTCCCAATTTAGTTTGCACCATTTTGTTTTTGGCAAGGACCCACTACTAAAAGTTAAAATCCCACTCTCTTTCATGCAATTAAAATACTCCACTATCTCCCATCACACCTATCTTTTTTTAATTATAACTATTGATAACCATACTCCCAAACTACACCTAATACTATATGTCTTGATTGAGGGAATACAAGGAGAGATTATATATTACATTGTCTAAAAAGACCTACTCCAATGCCTTGCTCATAACTAGGGCTATTCGACGATTCAAAACTAGATCAAATTGGACCAAACCGGACCAAAGATCGAAATTTTCAAAATTCAAGAAAGCTCAAAAGACATACTAGTAATGCTAGGTTCGGGGTGGATCGGATTTACATTTTTTTTTTCCTTATGAAAAATTAATATAATAAGGGTACAAAAAAGTAAACTAACTGTTCAATTGCTTTTCTGAAATCCTAAAATAAAATAGCTCAATTTATATAGTCCTCTGCTCATATTGAAGGAGAAAAATTAATCATTTTAGATGTATTTATGGCTTTAAGCATAATTTTGAACTTATAATCGTAACCTATCCACCAGATTTTAAAGGGCTTTGGACCAGATCGGACCAAAGACCGAAAATCTAGATAATTTTTAAAAAATATATAGACTTGAACAGTTCTCTTCGGTCCAGTCCATTTATCTAGTTTATCCCAGAATTCAAACACCCCTACCCATAACAAAACAAGCAAGAAAATACTTCAAATTCCAAAAACTTAAGAAGGGTAAAGGACCCTCAAACATCATCTTGCTGAGCAAACTCCAGAGAAGTGGAGAGAAAGGCTATTAGCCTTGTAGTGTATTGCCAATTATGGTCTAGAAAACTCAGAATGTTCAGCTTCAATGACACCATAACCACCTCTTTACAGAAAGCTACTACCATGCCAGTAAACCTATACACAAAATCCTTGCTTGCTTGACTTGCCTCCCAATGTCTATATAGTCCTACTTGTTAATAACCATCTATTTTAGAAGTTTGCAGATTATAAATAGTAAACTTACTACAGAGAATATTGATATGCTTTGCTGACTAATTTTGACGGAATAAGATAGCTGGGAATTATATTTTGTACAAATTAGCTCACTCCTCATTCTTTCTGTAATAAACTAGCCAAGGAGGAAAGGGTAGTTTTGTTTTGCACTATTAGGCTAGCTTGGGGAAAAAGGCGAAAGAGGAAAGAAAGTTAGAAATGTTATATGTAAAGGAGATTAAAGAGAAATAAATCAGAGAATTTAGAAGTTTATTCTGCTTCGTTTAAGTTAGTTGTTTTGGTGTATCCAGCCATTCAAAGGCCTTGGGGTTGTAAGCTTGCAACACCATTATTGATGATATAATTGCATTTACACTACAATCAATCATCCATTTCCCCTAATTTTCTGTCTTCCCTATAATAATCTTCTGTCAGTGCATCAATTTGCCAGATAATCATCTAAATTTCTACTCTTAGCTTTATTACTTGTCATCTAGTCTAACACACTTTCCTACCCGTTTCTTCTGCCTTTTTTCAGTATCTCAACCCATAAAGTACCATGGCCATTTAGTAAATAAACCATTGCATTCTAATCCAACTTTATGAAATGAGGAGTATCAAGTCATGAAGAATATCATATCCAAGCTGTAATCAGATTTTGATCATCAACCATCAAATATTATCATGTAACAAACCTATCCATGAGTAGAATTTAGAAGGCAAAACAGAACTTTGCAATGCCAACTTGAAAGTTGAAACTATTTATGCTCCAAACTTGTCTTCAGGGACCCAAGAGTTGACATCCACAGTATATCCTTCCAAAGGTTAAGTAGGCGTAGATGCATTCCCCATTAACCTACTGCTTGAAGAATAAGAACCTACTGAACATGCCAAAAAAGACAAATTGCTTAAAGCACCTCATTTTTTTGGTCCTTGAGACCAAAGATCAGCCTATCTTGAAGGATTTGAGTCAGTTTGATCCAAATAAACAAAAACAACTCCCAAAATTGATATGTTATACATTAATACATCAAAGGTTTCATACATTCTTATCTTAGATTTATATTCATTGATCCTTTTTTTATTTTTATTTTTTATTTTTTTTTTGCATGGCAAAAAGATTTCATCTAGAGAGGATCAAAAGGCATAGCAACCTCCAGAGACAAAACATGCATATCTCTGATAAACAGTACCTCAACATGAGCCTCTGAGCTTATATCATTTGCATATTGGATAATGTCAAGCTCCATCTTTGACTTTAGAACACGGCACTCGGTCAATATAGGATGCAAAGTACTTAGATCCGTTTTGAAATTCTCAATCCCCTGACAAGTAAAGAATATACCCATCAAAAATTTGCTAGCATATAAAGGAGTCAAAAAATAAAATTCTGATTTTCAAAACCACAGATTGATTTTAGCATCATGCCAGACCAAATAACATTGACAATCCGAAAGACAGCTTTGATAATGCAAACATCCGAAATAAGATGATTCTAAGATTTCTAACCCATAATATAACACATTTCAGGTAGCACTGTCCTAACACTAACATATGGAATTGCTTCTCTTGATGGAACTAAACAAGGTAGTGGAATTATTGACCAAATACAGCATTTAATTATAGAATTGATCACCATTTAGCATACCAATTCAGTTGAGCTTAAGAGTTGCTAGGAATGTGTCATGTTCTAGTAATGTGTAACAGATGCTGGAGCAGAAATCATTTAAACTCATAAAATGCAGAACGCTAGGTCCAATAATGTATTTATAGTCACAATTGAATGTTGAAAGGAAAATCATGTCTTTCATTAAATGTGCAAATGAATAAAGTGTAAACTATGCTATCCCCATATAATGATGAGATTCAACCCAATAACCCCTTTTAACTACCAAGGGTGTATTCTACTCACCTGATTTTCAGTTCCCTAAACTAATTTGAACTTAACTGAACTTATATAAACTTGTTAGAACTTAATTTAGTAGAACTTGGGTAGCCTTTATATTCCTTAAAGTTAGCTTATTTGAACTTATTTACCCTTAATAGGACATTTAAAAAAAAAAAAAAAAAAAATAGAGGAAGTAATGTGAGCAAAACATGGCCTTAGATGGTTAGTAAACTATCAAGTTCACTAAACCATTGTAGATTGATGAACATGGACCCTGATAAACATTGGAATTTAGTGTTGATAAGCGAATCAAAAGCTAGAAAACCTCGTAAAGCCTTACCCAAGATTATGTATCTTGGCAACAAATATAAAATATACGGAGCTACACAGCTATATAAGTCCAAATTCTTGAGAAAATTATCCTTTATATCTTTTTTTTTTCAAACAATTCTACTAATTAGCCCCAAGTACTTCATGCGTTCTTTATACTTCCTCAATTCCTTAACACTTGACCGAGTTTTACTATTGCACTATTCACAAACTCTCCTTACACCATTTTTGTGATTTGTATGTTAAGAAAAAAAATTAAATGGGATCTTTTTCGAAACGTCTTACCGTCATAAAATCTATTTTTTATAATTTTTACTTATTAAGAAACAAGAATTGATGGTTAAAGCTATTGAATAACAAGCGTGATAAGTAAAAAAAAGAACAGAAAAAGTAGATAACAACACGAAGGTGGTCACATGTACCAAACACTAGGCTTATACAGGACTTGATCAACCCCTTCTTTTACAATTTTAAAAGAGTAGGTAATTTTGTCCATTCGCAAGTGGGGCAAGAAATAAATTAGACATTGTTGGGACCTGCTAAAAGATGAGAAAACGGGGCGATAATTTAGTAACGAAGAGAGTATTTGACTTCATAGGTGCAAAAAGAAAAGGAAAAAATAAATCTTGATTTTTCCTTTCTTATTCAGAATTTCACTTATATTAGTTTACTTTATCTTAATTGAACTTATTAGCATTTATATTATCTAAAGTAAGTAGCCCTTATTTTATCTTACCTTATTGAAAATTGGGTCTTATTAGAACAGAAATTACATGCCCTTATTTTATCGTATTTGAACTTGTTAGCCTTTTTTATACTACATATTTGAATTTATTAAACCTAAATAAGTGATTATAAGATGAGGAGAACAGAGCCTTAATGGAAAGTTGAATGTCAAGCTATTAAGTGTCATCATATTCTACAAGAAGAATGGACATCCAAAATACTTATTTAGTCCCAGAATTCCCCCGTGGTTATCAGTGAACTAAATTTGCAACTTTGTCTTCTTTTTTAATAGTCTACAAGTGATTGTTTGAGGTTCAATGGTATGAGAGTTTGGTCTTTTTTTTTTTTTTTAGGAAAAGTTTGGTCTATTTTAACCTTACAGTTCAATACAATAGAATTAAGGGCTGTCATCAAGAGTGTAACGACAATGTTGTTGGTGCTACTCTAAGTCAACTACTAAAGAATATTCCAAAAGATTTGGATTATTCATGCTAGTTTCTTACTTTCTTTTTTTGAGGTAACCAATCGTGCAAGTTTTTTAAGGGGATCTATATTTGCTAGATTGACCATAGTTGGGATAACTATGTAAAACAACTATATATGGGGGAAAAAAATAATAAACACCTCAAAATCTGCTGGTTTTGAGAAATTGCCGCTGTCTGTATTAAGCCCATGCAACAGAAACAGCAAAGATTTATCTTCTCCCTTGTATAGACTGTGCAAAACTTCTTCCATCATGTCCACATAACAGACCATGTCAACCTTGTACCTTTCCTGCAAAAGATCAAAACCAAAAATAGATATGAGCAAAGAAATGAATCATAAAAACTAAAGATGTAATTGAATGACAAAATGATATGCTCTCACCGTAAAATGCGACAATGGTTTAATCTTCCCTAGCCAAACAGCATACTCTGCTGGGAGACGTGGAGCAAACAAGATAGATTTTCCTGTGGCAACATCCTTGCCAATCAAATATGGTCAAGTATTAGTATCAACAAAAAAGTTAACTAAACTAACTTGTTATGAGTTACAAGTGAAAATGAATGAAGGGAAAAAAAAACGCAATCGCAACCAAGTCCAAACAGTTGTATATGATATTAAGATTGATAACGCAAGGAAAAAGAAAACTGACATCCTATAACAATTTCTACCAATAAAAGTGGATGAAAGTCAAAATTAAAATGAATCTTGTTGTCTTGAATCTTCATCTACAAATAGCCAAGCACACTATAAATCTTATTAACTTTAATTTCAAAGCTTAATGCACTGAAAGCTGATGATTGGAATGTCAACAAGTGGGGATTGTTTTATCATCTTCATTCAGGAATCAGGATACCACCCAAGAGTAGTATTACTCTGTATATCATTAGGAAAATAGAAACACAAGTGTCCCAAAATAAGGAATTTGATGATGTATGAAAATAAAAAAATCAACGAGGAGGCATGCTTTCTCCATGTATTGGTAAACCAGCTTGCTTTCCTTCCAATTTATATGTATTTTTTTATGACACCTTTGCAGCCATGTTAAGAATGCCTTCCTAACTCACTGCCACCAGCAGCTTCATCTAATGGACCATTATCACACAAACCTCCAGCCCTTCATCAATCACCTAGAATTGAACCACTACGGACTTGTTCTCTTCAACTTATTTTAAATACCTTGTTACCTATTCTTGTCAAAATCAAATCAGACCAGAAATTTTCAGATCAAGCCTTTTAATTCTCTTTTTTTTTTTTTTTTTTTTTTGAAAGAAAATTCTCATTTACTTATTGCTTAATAAATATCTTATCTTTGATTGCGTATTAAAAAAATTATAATAAGTACATATTTGAGAAGTAAACGATGAGATGAATCTAACAAGTTTCAATTTGATAATGTGTTTACTTCTTATAGATTATTGTAAAAATATGGTCAAAGTTTAGTCATATCAATACATCATATCAGACCAAACAAGAAAAACTTTACAACAGTACAACACCATATTAAAATTCAGACTAGTCAATACCTTGATAAGATCAGCCCAGGTCACCTTATTTCAAGTGAAGATAACAAGTCCTAACACTACTATGCCCTTGCTTGTGCAATGAACTGATATTACAGAAGAGGGGCAATTTAGGGAGTAGAGTTATAATAATGTTGTTAGGAGAAGTTAGTTTGTAAGGGAATTGCTCTATAAATAGAACTAGTTAGAGAAAGATAAACATGTTTAATATGGTTGAATGTTTTGGGTTAACTTTAGAAGGCTAAATTGGGAGAAAATCTACCTCTCGAAAGAGGAATTATCATACAAAAGTGTTGTAATTCAGTTTATTAATCAAAATTTATCATCTTCTTCCTGTTTAATGCCATTTATGATGATCAAGCTATCTTAATTATAGCATCCTGAAGTAAACCCATAACAATGAGTTAATTACAAGAAAATTGTCCCTTCAAAATTATATGGAATTCATATTAATAGTCCACAATTCAGTATGAAGGCTTGATACCATGACAAAAATGACACCATCCTTACTTAGTGCCAACATGCCGCTAGCCTAAGCCTCTTTATGTGTTTAGTACATGTAACGAGCCATTTCCTACCCTATCGAGCATCGTTGGGCGTGAGTGTAATGATGCCCAAAGGTTTACCCATAATCTGCTCTTAGACAACACTCCCAAAAAGAGACCTATTCATGTTTGAGCAAATAATTCTACTGAGCCCCAAATGACAGATTTATACAGATGTAACAAGATAAGCCAAAGGGATAAAAATTTGATAGGCCAAACACAAGTAAGGACACAAGGGGGCATCAAGGAGAAGCTTTTAGGATTTCTTGGATGGTTACTTCTAATTTAAAGACTTTAGTGTATCCTTGTAAAAATCTTATGCTTTGGAACTATGTAATCTAGCAGCCCCAATCCAATCATTGATTCATTGCACTTACCTATGTCAACCCTACTGTAATTGTCACACTTCATTTTATGGCATGAACCCGCTAGTTTTTATTATCTCTCTTCCCGATGCCAAAAGCTAGAGTCCACACCCTCTTTCATTCAATAAATGGACACCCCATCTACCATCACATCTACTTGTGTAATTACAATAATTAAAATAAAAAAAATAATCCAACAACAATATTGCATTCAACTCCTACAAAGGTTGGTGTGATGATTAAACTAGGACACAACTCCTATAAATGTTGGTGTGATGATTAAACTAGGACGGAGTAAGCAAAATAATATAGGTTTTGTACATATGAGTGCCATGTGTATATCTTCCTAGCCACTAGTTAGAGGTGTGGTTCTAGAACTAAAAGCCTTCCTATAGATAGGCTTAAAGGTTAATTTATGTATAACACCCAACACTTGTAAGCAATGTATAAAAAAGCACAAGGCGCACTGAAGCGAGAGGGGTTCTGCTGCGCCTAGGTGAGCCTAAGGCGCGTGCGCCTCTTTGAAGTGAGGCGCGGTATATGGGCAGCTAAATTTTTTTGCTGAAGTTTGCTTCAAGTGTGCCTCATGTGCGCCTTGGGTGTGCCTGTGTGCTTTTGGTGCGTCTTGGGCGCTTTTTGTGCGCCTAACCCAAAACACCTCCCCGGACCAAATTAAGCGCTCGCCCCTGATCACCTTGTGCCTCAGCGCCTAGGTGCGCGCTTTTTCAAACACTGCTTGAAAGCATTCTTTCCAAGCAATACAAATACTCTTCCTAAGCACTATACTTTTTCTCTCCCATCCTTATACCACTCCATTAAAGCAGCCCCTATCCCCTCCCCCTCATTGGATTTGTGGGATAACTTGCCATATTATCCTTACACTTGCCCCTTGGGAAAAAATCTATATCTTAATAGACAAAATAGGTCAATCCTTGTTTCACTAATTTATCCTCAACATTCAAAACAAACAGATTGCTGGTTTACATTATCTTGCCCCTTAAACTTGGGGCAGAATCATCATATTCCTTAGGAAGAAAGGAATTGGAATGAAATTCTCATCAAAGATGGCCGATTCCAGCTTTAAAGATCAATATTTCAGAAGGGTAATGGTAATAGGTTTCAATAGTTTACCACTATAGTGTGGAGTAATATATACAATTACAGAGGGACTACATAGGGATGTTGATGGCGCGGGTCGGAGGTGAGGATGGTACCTCCACACCCATCCTTGCCTAGAAATATCATACCTATCCCTGCCCTACCACCCATGGGGCAATATCTAAATCCATCCTCGCATCAATGGGTACAAGCTAAAGTCCATCCCCGCTCCACCATCCACTTGGATATCAATATCTGCCCCATTCCCGCCCCACACCCGCTAATTTCTACATTTGTTAACCAAAAAAATTAATATGGTATCACATACTCCTTAACAACAATAATTGTACCTAACAACAATAATTGGACATGTGTCATTACCATACATTCATACAATATGACCCTAATTCCCTTAATTATAATGATTAACTTGGATTTATATAAGCTATTTTTGCAGGGATGAGCGGGGCAAGGCGAATCTAAAATCAAACCCGACCCATCAACCGTGACAGGTACAATTTTTTTCTCATCCCCACCCCATCACCCGCCAAACCTCCCCACCCCACTCATGGAGGATGTAAAGAACCGACATATAGAAAAATTCAATACACGGAGAGGTGTATGGAAAAAGAAACAAGGAGGAGGGAAGAGAGAGAAGAGAGAACAACTTACAACAGCTCCATAGAAACTGGGCTCCCTAACTCCAAATAAGTAAGCAAAATAACTCTCCTGCCTATTGAACATAAGAAAACAAAGACCAACTTAGTATCTGAATCATGAACAGAACTTCTTATATATATTGTACATGCAAAATGTAAGGATGAAAAGGAACACTAAATGTAGAGATTTATTACTAAGATGGATACAAGAAAGCTTAATTGCAAGCATATAATTTAACGAAGTCCGTACACTGTAACAGATCATTGCTCTTGAAAATTAAGGGTCTTAGTGTAAGCTTAGCACAATGTAAATGCCAATATCAAGGTATTATGAAAAGAACCACACATGTATATGATCCAAACAGTCTATCAAAAACATAAACAAATGTTGCTATTCTTAAGAGAAAAACGAGCAGGTCATGAGAATTTGCTGTCACAGACTCACAGTAGAGGTATTCAAACAAATACAAAAAACAAGATAGAAAACAAGATAAAGTGCATCTTTTTATTCTTACAGGAACTCAGAATTTCATCAAGTCAATTAAACATTTTAACATCTAGCAACAGGAGAGAAATAAAACTAATTAAGTTTACTGGTGTAAGTCAAAATATGCAGGACTAATTCATTCCCAAGATCAGTTTTACACTTGACCATTATTGTTTAAAAAGCGAACAGAATTTACTTTCTACTGGTCGTTAAAATCCCAGAAATCAAATACCAAAGCAAAAATTTCATGACATCCAACAGACCCAAATTGACAATATTGACACAAAAACTTCGCAGTGTGACTGCTAATTATAAATTCTGCAATCATCTAGTCAGATATCCAGCACCACGAGCAATAAAAGGTAAGAATATCCACATTTCCGCACCAAACATAGATCGATAGGTTTATCTTCATCCCATACATTTAGCACAATTCAAAAATTCATCTTAAAGATATAATTACGTGTGATCTTGTATAAAAATAACAATTTTTTTTTATTTTTTTTATATTAGAGAGAGTCACAAAGGCAAATGATGTAGGCGGGATTTGATCTCAAGGTCTTTGAGTAACACCTTCGAAACTTTAACCAACTTGTGCATGGACAATTATGAGTTCATGACACTCCAAATGATGCAATTATTAAAGAACAGGCGAAATACGAAGAAAAACATTATAACAAAATTAATTATACACCTAATCCATTGTAAAAATCAGTAAACTAACCGGAAAAGTTCAGTATGATCGGTGCAATAACGATTCTGCTCTTCTCCACCCTAACAACACAGAAAACACAATCGAATTAATGGCAGAAAGTTATTTTGATCAATTTCATACAAAAATTAACATAAAATTAGGGAAAATTAGAATTGAAGAGAATTGAATGATTAATTGATTGATTAATACCTGAAGGAGTACGATGCCTTGAATTGGACGAGCAGAATCGGCAAGGTGTTGTTGAAGAGATTTGACGAGTTTTTGACGATTGATTACGTGAAGTTGCATTTCAATTTCGGGAGGAGATAGAGTAGAGCGCGGAACTGCTGCTGCCGTAGCCATTGGAATAGGAATAGAGTCTTTTTCTTCCGCCATTTGCAAGATGTTTTAAAGAGGACAAGTGTATATTCACACTTTCCCCTCTAACTCTAAGGACGAAGTTTTGCAAACTTTTTTTTTTTTTTTTTTTTTTTTTTGGATTAGAGTTTTGCACTTTATAGTGACTTGTAAGCAAGTAAAAATTTAATGTGAGGTCTTATTGAAGCTATGTTCGGTTCATTTAATCTGATTTAGGCCCTGTTTGGTAATTAGCTGGTAGATATAACTGATTATATTAACTGATTTGACTAACTGATTATATTAGATGATTTGACTAACTGGTTGTAAATAGTTGATTGTGTAAAAGTGTTTAGTAAATAGTTGTTTATTATTAGTTGTTTAGCGTATTTAATACTAAAAAAGCTAATTGTTCAATAAGCTAATTTCAAAAAGCTCTTATAAAGATGGTCAAACACCAAAATTAGCTTTTTAAGATGGTCAAACCTCTAATAGTGTTCAATAAGCTAAAAGCTTTTCAAAAAGCTCTTTACCAAACAAAGCCTTAATCTAAATTTTACTGATTTTGTAAGAAAATTATCAAATAAAATGTCAATATATTCACCTAACACAAAATATTGGGTAAGGCAAGTCTCACCTAACCATTAGTTAGATGACTCTCACCTTCACATATTCCTTCTCCCTAACAATCTTTTACTTCCAAAGCCATATTCGGTCACACCACCTCCAATTCCCCTAATTCCCACTGTCACTTTCTCTCTCATCCAACCCCAGTCTTCTTCCATGGAGTCATTCCTTCGTTCCCATGCATCATCGTCGTCACTTAAGAGCATCAACAATGGGAAGAAAGCTTATATCCTTTCCCATTTTCTCTCACCTTTCTTCTATTTGACACATCCCACTCTCTTTCCTCCATTTGACACATCCCACTCTCTTTCTTCTACATCACTTCCCACTATCTTCATCCTTTTCCTCATCCTCTGTAACACCCTAGAGACTCATTTCCTTTAAAATACCTGTTTTGCCCTTTTTAAAATACGAAATAGGAAAATCTAAGACATTACCGCCACCGTGAAAACGGCTAAGGGAATCATCAAAGACACACAGTGGAAGACTTTCTTTAAAACCATTCAAAACAAGTCAACTTAAAAAGTCAAACCAAAAGAAAGTAAAGTCAAACAAAGTCAACCTACAACTTGGAACCATTGTAAGCCCTTAAAACCAAACAATACTGAAAACCTTTACGTTAGTCTCATGAGCATAATAAAATAAATAATATTCAAAGCAATTAAAACACATCATATTCCTATGGAACCAAGCATGATTCGCTCTTCACTCATGCCCATCATGAAAATGCTTCATCACCTGAAAAACTTCTCTCTACTTGTCCCCACTACTCGCCATTAGAAATTGGTCGTCGTAGGGCCAAGGTAAAGACAAGGCCAAACAAACATACAACACACACAATCAGCAATGTTGAGTACATAAGTGTAATAAAACACACTATCATGCTTTCATCCTATCAATACACAACTTACCGTGTTGCACCTGTTTACAAGCATACAAGACATTCAACACTTAACTGATTACGCATCGAACGGGTTTCCCCCTAACCTGCCCCAACAAAGGGGTACTAACACGGGAGCTAACCGTGCCAGTATAAAAGAAACCACACGTAAGTGGCGGAATTCTTGCGAATAGTAAAAAAGGAATATACAGCGTCCTGTACTTCCAGTAGAAGTTATGGTCAAATATAAAGTCGCATAACTCCCCCAATTTGTTCATACTCAAGGTATATACGTTCCAAGAGTTTTGGTGCGTAATCTCTTCCACTTTACGTTGTTTAGACATTATTAGACTTGGTGATGACTCTCAACCATAACACAATCAAACATTATAATTCATTCAAGAAATCAAACATACCAATTTAATTCTTAAATAATTAGTGACTACATAAATTAAATGTTGAACCCTTTTTAATCTACCTTGGTGTTAAATAACACCTTAAGCGCATGAAGCACCACAAATCCTATCTCTCGGTGCTTAGAACACCTTAAGTGCACTTAGGCACCAAAATATAATTTAATCCTCGTGTACATAGATACTTAAATAGCTTCTTCCTCATGCTTATAACATCAATAAAAATTATATGAACCATAATAAAATTCCTTTTCAATATTCCAAACCAAATTAAACACTTAGTTTAATTAAACATGCTCTCAATCATGCCAATAATAAAAGTGTGGTTCATATTCAACGTGCCAATATAATTAATTTCAATCACCAATTCATCATAAATAATTCATACATCACAGATCAATCACCAACATCAATCCAATCAATAATTCCAACCAATACCTATCATGATACTACTTTGGAATTAATTAAACAAAGCCTAACATGCTTCTATACACTTAAATAATTACCGAGTATGCGAACGTACCTCGAATATGATCTCAAAATCGTCACGACTACATGAAATCACTCGCTTGGAAATCTCCTACAACCCAAAATTACAAAGAGGCATTAATACCTATTCCACACAAATTTCCTTATCGGTGAGAATGAACCTCCAACCTATTGAGAGCCTCCCTTAGTCGAATTCTCAGAACGTAACCCTCAGCCAGGGTGGTCCTCTAAGGTCCCAACAGGTGTCACGATCACGCAAGGGCCTGAATTACCTATTGCCGTCCGCTACTGCTTTCACAGTTTATTACTTCCTCACTTATAGATTCTACTACTTATTAGAAAGAGAGTCCCTTGTAATTGGATAAAGTGATGACCGAAATCGTTGATGGCGTGGTTCATCACATATCTTAATGCTTTCGGAATCAACGAACATAGTGTGTCCTAAGTCGGTAGCAAGATCAGAAGGCTCCGAGAGCCCTGGATAAAGATTGAAATCTTGAACTAACCAAAACTCTCGATAAAGAGAGTGTTAAGTTAAGGAGTGTTTCTCGGCGTTCGGGCGGCCCAGCAACGAGAAGTTCAACTTCACACACCAAGGGTTGAACTAATCTCCGCGCTTCATCGCAGATGAGGGCATTAAGGAGTAGTCACCGCTCGTCCGCCATTAGCACTCGGGGCTCTTTTACAGTAACTACTACGGACGGGACGACAAGTGTACAATGTAAAAGTGTGCATTTGCCATGTTTGCATTCCGCGGTTTAACCAACTCGCTCTTGTCCAGTAGGCCCACGAAAGACGAACTTTAAGGTAGCACTCACTGAGGAAATCCAGATGAGAGAGAGGCTGCAGCAAATAAACACCACTGCCGCTCGCTAACAAGTCTCTCTAAGGTGGGAATTCTGAGTGGAGATAGAGATAAAAATAAATAAGTGATGAACCCTGTTTTTCATTATATCCTTACAAAATATTAAATCCGATGTAACGACATCAAGCACGAGACGACGGTCAATCGATGGCTATAAGTCGGGTGGTACCCGAGACTGTAGCGGTCGCCACTGTATCCACAGGATTTAAAGACCCACTGCCGAGGGGACTGAGTGGCATGCGTTCTACTGCGACGTGGCTCCATACGGGGGAACTGGGTTCTTAGGACTTAAGTCATCCCTTCTGCTTTGGAGTTTCACTTTCTTAGAATGGGTCGTTGAGAATTTTTTGGTTGGGCTAGGTAAAGTAAGCCCTTTACTTTCTTTCTCAAATAGCGGGGTGTTTACTCGCTAGGTTATCTTTTTCGTTCCTGCCTTACATGCGTGCTTCACTTCACTCTAACTAACACAAGGGAACGGTAACAAAAAGATAATTAATAAATGTCGTATATATGAGAACAATCTCGCTTTGAGATGACACACCCCAAAACTCCCACGCCTTTCTTGGTTGGAAAGAGTTACTTTTTAGAATTCCCTCCCTTTATACGCTCTAAAAAGAGATCATGGCATTCCGAAAAGACCTCATTGTGGGATGAAGACCGTAACCTTAGTAACTCAGTGCTCTATACGGGGGAAATGAAAGCAGAATTCGTTCGGATCCTCTCACATGTTCAATCTTTTTTTAGCGGTTTCCCCAGAGATCTTTCTCATTAATGCAACCTTCATTTTGCTCATTCATGGAGTTGTTTTTAGTACCTCTAAGAAATATGATTATCCACCGTTAGTCAGTAATGTGGGTTGGCTTGGATTACTTAGTGTTGCGCGCCTAGGAGGGCAGCGCGCTTTGGGATGCGGAGGAGCTTTTATCGCCCAGCTCCCTAACCTAATGCGGCACCGGGTTCGGACCGCAGGGAACCGTAGCATGGGAGGACGTCTAATCCTTTTGCCTCGCAAGGCTGGCTAATCGTACGCAGCAGGCTCGAAGACCCCTGGTTCTGAAAGGCACATGAGTCCGAACGCTATGTTGAATGTGCAACCGACACTACACTACGTAGGTACCTGTGCAGGTAAGGCGTCGGTCGGTCCTAGAAACGGCGGCAGTGGCGCGAGGAGTTAACGAACGGACGTGCTGCAACCTAGGGATCACCAGGCAGCTCTTTCGCTCTATAGGGGTCGGCAATATATACAATCTTTAAATCACTCATAAACCCTCTAAAACAAGCTAAAATTTAATTTAAAACCCCTACTTTTATTCCCAATTAATGGGTAATTAAAAATCCTTTCAAGAAACATAATTATAGCTTATATATAAAAATTCCAGCTTTATTAAATCATCTAAAATTGTTGTAATTGTGTTTTAAAACACTTATTTTAATAATTTAAATCACCTATAAACAATTTCCATCAATATACATAAACTTAGAAACCTAGGGTTTATAATTTGGGGCTTTTTAATTCAAAACCAAATCTGAAAATTTATATACATCATACTTAAAATCAAAACATCATAAAAATCATCACAAAACCCAAAAACAATAATTAGATCAAGGGTAGATTTAATTAAAAATCAAAAAGGAAGGTTTTTTTTTTTTTCGAACGCTAACAGCCCGACACCACAGCAGGGCTGCTACCGCGCGCCTGCTGGTGGTGCCGTTGCTATCACTGGCGTTCACTGGTGGCTGCGGCGGTGGCGGCGTGTGGTGGTGGCCGGCGTATGGTTGTGTGTGTGGGTGGTGATGAACCAAAAATAAAATAAAGGGGAAGGGGAAAAGAATAAGAGGAGAGAGAGAGAGTTTACCTTTGGGTATCCT